CAAGAAGTGTATATCCAAGAAGTGTATATCCAAGAAGTGTACATCCAAGAAGTTGTACATCCAAGAAGTGTATATCCAAGAAGTGTATATCCAAGAAGTGTACATCCAAGAAGTGTACATCCAAGAAGTGTATATCCAAGAAGTGTACATCCGAGAAGTTTATATCCACATCGGCAACTTTTTCTTCACATCTTTAAACATAGATTTACTTTAACAGTTTGATGTTCATACCATGTAGATCATCATTACTCCTTCTTGGCAGGTTAACACAATTATACAAGTCATCATCATTACTCCTTCTTGGCAGGTTAACACAATTATACAAGTCATCATCATTACTCCTTCTTGGCAGGTTAACACAATTATACAAGTCATCATCATTACTCCTTCTTGGCAGGTTAACACAATTATACAAGTCATCATCATTACTCCTTCTTGGCAGGTTAACATAAATTATACAAGTCATCATCATAACTCCTTCTTGGCAGGTTAACATAAATTATACAAGTCATCATCATTACTCCTTCTTGGCAGGTTAACACAATTATACAAGTCATCATCATTACTCCTTCTTGGCAGGTTAACACAAATTATACAAGTCATCATCATTATTCCTTCTTGGCAGGTTAACACAAATTATACAAGTCATGACATACATGTTTCTAACTGAACTCCTAAAACCAAAATATTTTATTTCTCTCCTTACTCACAGACAATTTTTAATGGTTTTGATGAAATAGATAAATCCCATCTTGCCTGTTTTTAGATTAAGTTTTTGTTTCAGTGACATCTATGTTCCTGTTTATGATTAAGGCAGTAAGTACTGTACTTCACTGTAGACTTCTGTGGATTGTAATCTGTCTTCGAAATACTTAGACGACGTTTTGAGTTACTGGCATCAGATCAACGCATATCTATAAAAAAACAAAACAGGAAAACTAAGAAAAATTACATTTACCTCGGTCCTTCGGTGACTCAGAGGTAAGCTTGTGAGGTTTTTTAGATTAAGTTTTTGTTTCAGTGACATCTATGTTCCTGTTTATGATTAAGGCAGTAAGTACTGTACTTCACTGTAGACTTATGTGGACTGTAATCTGTCTTCGAAATATTTAAACGACGTTTCGAGTTGCTAGCATCAGATCAACGCATATCTATAAAAAACAAAAC